TACAGTCTGTAACTGTAGAACTACAAAGTGCACCTATATAGTAAGTGGAGCTGATAAAATGGACAATGAGCGTAGAAACAAGGAGGTGGTCATAATGTTATGCCTGATCTGTGTATTTTTCTTTGCACTCAGTGGCTATTTTGACTAAAAATAAGCGAAAGATGGTCTCTGACCTTTCCACAGTTCTGTATGTCTCAGTTATGTTATATGGAGGGAAAAAATGATATGGTAACACACACTTTTCATACACCTTTTCTAGGGTATGTACACAAGATTACACTTTCTCCATCTTCCACACACACTTTTCACCCTTTGTGCGTGAGATGTTTGCCCAGCTCATTCTATTTATAAAGTCCCTATGGAGTGTGTGGTTTGTCTGGGCTGCTCTGGTGTTAGTTGTGACCCGTGCTACAGATCGTTGGCATTCCCCTCCAGCCTTCCTCATTCCTCCAGCCTCTGATCCTCCGCTCATGGCACGGCCTGCCTCAGACACATTGGTCTCTGTATGCAGCCATGGGCACGAGCCAAGTGCAGGGCAGAGAGCCAGCTGCCTGACCCCGTCTTTAGACGGGACACAGTGTGAGAACAGTGGCAGTATAGTGAGTGAGTGTATATTGGCACTTATTCACTACACTGCATTGGCGTATTATATGTAGGGGTGGGACTTCACTGGGTTTAATAATAAAATGCGGTTGAACTCAAAGACAGTCATCATTGATTTTCTGATATCTGATTATGATTCTCATGTTTTAAGGAGTGGGAATCACTAGAGGCCCCATGATACGATAATATTAAGACACATATCAAATCATGTCACATTTACACAGGTGTGAAGGTGAGTGAAAATCCTAGGTGCTTAGCCCCTCACATAGCACAGCATTAAATATTAAGTGACCCCTATTAGTCCCACAACGGGGAAATTTAACCCATCCGTGCACCACATACACACTAGTGAACGCACACACTAGGGGGCAGTGAGCACACTTACCCAGAGTGGTGGGCAGCCCCATCCACAGTGCCTGGGGAGCAGTTGGGGGTTAGGTGTCTTGCTCAAGGGCACTTCAGTCACGTACTGTCAGCCGAGGGGATCAAACCAGCGACCTTCTGGTCACAAGGCTGGTTCCCTAACCTCCACCTTATCATAAATACTATTGCACTACTTTTACATAATGTATAAGTACAAGATATAAATATGAAAGATATACACATTATACACATTATATGTACTATTCTTATCACAAAGTATGCATATATGCATGCATATGATATAAACTATTCAAAATACTCATTATCATACATGGATATGATTTAGTTTTAGGAGTTTAGGATATTGTGTATATATATATATATATATATATATATATATATATATATATATATATATATATATATATATATATATATATATATATATTGTATAGAAGATATAAATATTTAAGGTTTACGCATTATCATATACACTTTACTGCATTCCAGTTTTGCCACACTCTGTCATACACACTGTCACAATATATACATATATTGAACACATCAGTATGCAGTACAACCCACTCGGTGACGTCCGGTACAGACAGTTTGTCTAATTTACGTGACCTTGAGTAAACACTATACCAGGAGACTTTAATTAAAATTCAATAAGGTCCAGTTAGAGAAAATATCCTCAAGCAAAGGTCCAGAACATCATAATGTCTAACTTGCATCATGATTCAGTGCCATATACTGTTTACTGAAGTAGCCTAGTAGGTATATCAACATCTTATAGTCAACAACTGAACGTCAAATGAAATAAAGTACAATTCAGTCATATTTCAACAATATTTATTGTCAGTTTTCTCTTTTTAGAGCACGACATGTGAAATAACTTCCCTCTGACTCACTTTCTTCACTGACTGCTGTTTCTCGCCTCGTCCGTCCCCTGTGTGTGCGTCACTCACTCGAGTCTCAGTGCACAGATCTGATTGGCTGAGTAGCGTCACGTGTGATACTGACAACACATGCGATTGGTCTGTGAGTCTCCCGGGACGCTAAAGCTACCGTAAAGGCTAGAAAAATTATGCCGATTAAAATAGGACCACCCTGTCAAAATTAAATAATTCTCCATAGTTTATCGGTTGAAGGTCCAGGTCCGCATAGGACAGCATCTGGGTCCAGACTCGGATCGCGGTAGGCATATTATTGACCTCTGCACTATGCCATGTGTAATGGACAGTACAGAGGAGAATGGGTGGCGGTATGTAGAGGCTGTGCAGTATTAAGTGAGTTGTTGTTTATTAATAGAATAAGTGAATTACGTCAACAACGTTCCCGATACCGATATTGGATCGGATCGGTCCCATTTCTACATTCAACACAGTCATACCATAGCAACTTATTGGATACGTGAGCTTGCTGGACCTGAATATATACCTCTCCAGCTGGATCCTAGACTTCTGACTAGGAGGCCTCTTTCAGGATTGATTACCCCACCTCCAGCCCCACCAGACTCAACACCGGTGTTCCCCAGGGCTACGTGCTCTGTCCCCTGCTATTCACACTGCTGACTCATGACTGTGCTGCAAAGTAGAGCTCAAATCACACACTCAGGTTTGCTGACGATAGTACAGTGATGGGTCTTATCAGCAACAGTGACGAGTCAGCACACAGGGAAGAGGTGGAGCAGCTTTAAGACTGGTGTAGAGACAACAATCTCATCTCTTAATGTTCCTAAGACAAAACAGATGATTGTAGACTTTAGGAATAACTGTGGTGATCACTCTCCACTGCACATCTAGGGTTCAAAGAGTCAAAACCTCCAGATTCCTTGGTGTGCACATCATCGACGACCTCACTTGGACCCTCAACACCACCCGCCTAGCCAAGAAAGCCCAGCAGTGATTTGACTTCACCTTCCTGAAGAGAGCAAATCCCCCCCCTCCTTACTTTCTACAGGGGGAAATAGAGCATCCTGACCAGCTGTCTCTGTGCCAACCCATTCCCCCCCACCATGGACTCTTCACCCTCCTGCCATCTGGCAGAAGGTACAGAAGCATCCGTTACATCACCACCAGGCTCCGCAACAACTTTTTCCCTGAGATGGTCAGACAACTGAGCGCACTGATGGAGACTGATCACAGAACCCTTAACCATCACTGCACATCTGCACTATAAATTCTTTAAATCTTAATTTTTCAATGCTTCTTTGGGAATCTTATTCATGTATACTGGTTTGCTGTCTTAGTTGCGACATGTATTCCTACCGTTCTGATCATTTATTGTCTTGTGTGTTTATTGTTCTCTTTGTTTATCGTCTGGTGTATTTATTGTGTACTCTGCACTCGTTTCGCACTATGGTGTATCTGCACTTTACGTAGTCCTGTGTAATGTGTTGCTGTTGTGTGTTGCATCATGGGGGCCTAAAGAACAACATTTTGTTCTAGTGTACACAAGCTATGCTGGGGAATACAAATAAAGACCACTTGACTTAACTGGCGCCTGCCACTCGGCAGTGAGAACAGACAGCGGCTTGCGTGGGTGGAGCCCTTTATGATCCTTCTGGTTTTCTTCAGACGGCAACTGGTGTACAACTCCAGGAAGGATAGAAGCTGAATCCTAGTGATGTGCTGGGCTGTCTGCACCACCCTCTGCATAGCTTAGCATTCAAGAATAGCGGAGTCCCCATAGCAGGCGTGATACAGCTGTACCTGGCAGTGACACAGGCGAATATTTAAGGATTTACAATACACTTTTTGATGTATTGTGCTAAATTCAATTTTGTTACTTTCAACTGCAAATTACGCCTCCAAGAAGAGTTTCTTTGTCTTTGTTCAGCTTTTAGAAAAAAAAAATTCCATATTTGATTTGATTTGTACAATTTGTCCTTCAATTACGAGGTTTTTAAAGAGTTGAAATATGGATATTACTGCTTGCATCATAAGATGGGCAACCTTAAATACCACACGAAAACCAGCAAGCTCCACTGTGGTAGTTAAGCTTCTTTGGCAGTAGTAACCAACAGTGCTGGTGTTGTTATACAGGGAGATTCACTCAAAAGAGGCCCCGAATATTCTGTCGTAACTCCCATTAGGATGAAGCAATCTAAACCAAAAAATCCACTACATACCTTGACGTATGTGTAATCGATTGCATTACATGTGATGCTGGAAGTGATTTCCGTTTTCTGCCAGATACATTTCGACACGGCACTCCATGTTCCTGAACGTTCCTTGCCTGAACAGCGGCGCCTACCTCATCACTCCGACGCTTTGGCATCCCAGCTTGTTCGAAGCTCCATATACTGAGGATCTCATTGCACATTGTTTCGTTCAGATTGCTTCGTCCTAGAGAGAGTTATTACAGAATATTCGGGGCCTCTTTCGAGTGAATCTCCCTGTATAATAGTGTAAAGGTTTAGTAGTGGACTTTTAGGCCATGTCATTTTAATTTGCAGCTTCAAATATTCATAAATTGACTTATAAGCTTGTAATCCAGAGCATCCTGTGACTTTCTGGGTGGAATATATATGTGCACGGCAAAACGTTCTGGAACCTTTTTGTTTACCTCAGCAACACAGTTATAATCTGTAGTTTACAGTGGTGAAAAAAGAAGGGATTCCAATTATACATTTTGCTTCCTGCCAAAGGTTTGGGACACCTTCTTTTGAAATGGTTTAAATTTTTTTTTTTTTTTTAACTGTAGAAACTCTTTTGACCCAAATGCAGTTGAAACGCCTGAAAGGTTCAAGTATGATGAATGCTGACATTACAGTTTGGCTTTATTTGCAAAATAGCACGATCACAAATATTACCATAAACATGTCCATGTGATATTATTTCCCTGACCCTGCGTAGTCTTTAATTTGCCATTTTAATTTGTATTTCAAACGGACAAACAATATATGCTAACTTCTTTTAAATATTTTGAAAAGCTAAGGATCCCCAAACTTTTGGCGGGCAGTGTTTATGTGTTCCTGACCCAGAAAGGCACTCAATCATGTAAGTGGCTGTTTTGTTTTTTCTCCACAGTTTCCGTTTGGCATGATTTTGGGCCTCATACTGTGATAACGCTCTCAGCTGGAGTGTCTGCACACTGTCTCAGCCACGGCATCAGCTACTAATGAAGAAGCTCTTCTGCCCTGTAAGTGTCTGTGGACTAAAGTTTAGTAGTTTGAAACTACATTTATGGTGCATTTGCTGTTCGAATAATTGTCTCATAGATTTTCACAGGGGAAATCAAACGATGTTATTCAGAGTGGTTTGATGTGAAATGGCACATTATAGAAAAACTTGTTGAATTTGGTTCCCTTTACAGTGGCGGTGATAGGAACCAGGGGTTGCGTAGTCTTGCAAGGCCAGATGTGATCTAAATGAGGATACACATCTGGGGACACCTTGTTAACCATCAGGTGGTGGATTGAGGCACAATCTTCTGCAAACAATGGTACGCCTCTTCAAAACCTGTCTTGACTGTTTTCGTTACATAAAACCACTCGAATGTAATAATTGGACCTCAGGGAGAAAAGGTACAATTCAAGAAAAATGTAGAATATGGGACCCATGAGAAATAGTCCTTGAAACAAGCTAAATTGTCTGCTAACATTGGGAGATAATGTAATACAGAGTAACTTAGAAATACAGTTCGAGTGAGATTAATTTTTCCAGGAGGTAATAAATATTGTAATCCTGTTACATTTTGAGAAACGTAATTAGAACTTGTACACACTGGATCTGTCTATACTAACAGTTACGCTAGCATCATATACATACCCGTCTGTCTTTACGCAGTTGTGTCATCATGTAACAAAATGGAATAGTCTGTTGTAACCATAACCGGAGGTGGGACTGTATTGAAATAACTTGAGAAAAATCACTGCGATCATGAATAACAGCTGTTTTCAAAATATGTATATATTTAGGATAAGCACATTTAACATCCTGGATCAGGGCCTTGCCGGGGCGGAAGGGCTTGTGTGGTCTAGGGGTCTTCAGAGCTGAGTCATCTGGAGCAATATGCTCCTGGTAGGGTCTCCCAAGGCGAACAGGTCTGGAGTGAAGACCCAGACTGACTCGATCCAAAAATCCTCCATGACAAAGGGACGCAGTGGGAGACGGCAGGGAGGCCCTTGGCGGCCTGGACCCCTGCGTTGGAAACTGGCTCTTGGTACGTGGACTTAAGGTGGTTCGGGCATCTGATCCGGATGCCCCTGGATGCCTCCAGGTCAGGGTGAACCAGGCATGGCCTACTGGGACGAGACCCCGGGGTCCTAGGACCCGCTGGGGGGGATTATATTTCCAAGTTGGCCTGGGAGCGGCTGGGGGTCCCTGGGAATGAGCTGGAGGAAGTTGCGGGGGACAGAGTCGTCTGATTCTCTGCTCTCCCAACTGCTACCACGACCCCATCTGGATTAAGCGGTTAATGATGATGAAGGAATGAATGAATTAATGAATGAATGAACATTTAACTTCAACGCATAAAGTATTAATTTTACTTTCGGGGGCCCTAGACAGCAGCCCCCCCCCCACCCGATGGTACACCTTTTTCCTTCATCCCAATGTGTTGCTTGTTGTGTTGGAGCAAAAATGAGGACCACCTGAGAACCAGGTTAGGAACCACTGGTGTTTGTCCCCATCCTAATGAGGCTATGTTCCCACACACTTTTAGCCCACAATTTTCTCATGGCTGTCTCTTAACTCTTTTTTTTTAAAAGATCACATCTAGCCTTGGGAGACCAGGGGTTGTGATGTCTACAACTGGCAAATATCGCCATTGTATTCACTATGCAGAATAACCTATGAACCTTCATGTGTCATCTGAGTTTTTATATCTGATGTTGATAATGTTAAAATAGTGGACGATCTGAAGAAAACAGTTTTCACTGGGTGCTATTTTGCCTTACACCGCCCTGCATGTGCCTCTCTAAAAATGCATTCTATGCAAAACCTTATCTCACAACTATCATAAAACAATGTCTCAGGTATAAAGCAACAGTTTTATAATCAACCATTTCTGCCAGAGCATTTACTTTTTGTGAGGTAGCTTTAAGAGGAATTAAACGCTTCAGACTTCTGGTTTCTCTGACCACATTATGAGCGTTTCTGAGTTGGTACGTTTCTCTCGAATGGTGCATTTCACAGTAAACCACTCTGAATGACTTGTTTATATCTGAATGATTTGATTATGCAGAAAATGTTGAAAAATTGGTGGAACTGCCCTATAAACCAGTGGCCAGGGTAGTCTCTTATACAGTTAATTGACCACAAATGCATTCTTTTCATGGCTACTCTTATGAGGTTGGTTCGGTTTTACAGAAAGTCGGCTAAAATCCCTTTCAGCCCAGTTATTTTGGATTGGAGTTGGACTGGAGATGCAACTCTGCTCCAGAGCAGCAGTTCTCAAGCCTTTTTAGTCTAATGCCTCCTTTGTGGACAGTAAGTGCCACTGTCCACACCCAAGGACTGTCTTACCAGACATTTGTCCGTTTTGCTCACTTTCTTCACAGAAAGCTACAGATAACAGGATAAGTGGGTGCAGAATGGCTGTGAATTGTGATTGTTTGGCACATATTAAAACATTATTAAAATTAAATAACATCTGCAAAATTTAAACAAGGACTACTTTTTAGATACGGCTAAAGCAGATTTAATAAGGTGACAATATTTAAAATTTCTAAGTAAAGATGCTTAATGACATTTTTATGAGGCCCCCTTTGGTGCCTGCTGTGGCCCCACTGGCCTCCACTTTGAGCACAGCTGCTCCAAAGAACTCTTTTTGGCACTTTAATTTTTTTTTTTAATATTGAACTATGTTGTTTCTAACCAAGATTAGGTGGGTTAGAGCAACAAGTCTGCCACCATACTAACGGCATCTTGATTACACACACCAAAAAATTAAAATAAATAGATAAATATATAAATTACACATGCAAAATAAATATTGAAAATTTATTACACAGTGTAAATTTAAGTAGCTTGACAAAATCAGAGTTTCTCATTAGGCTGAATAGGATTTTTTTGCCAATGTTCTACAAAACTTGCCCAGCTTTGCAACTGTTACAAAAGAACTACATAAGAACGCAGTGGTGGGTGGAGCTTGGATAGGTCAATTATGAAACAGGGCAGGTCAATACAGGGCAGGATTCACAAATTGAGCAGATTTGTGAGCTTTCAGACACATGCAGTGCTTCTGAAATCTGTATCAGTCATTTGTGGTCAACACAACAAAAGCCCAACTCTATTTCTCTTGGCAATGTCCTGACCTGCATCACAGATCGACTTACCTGCCTTCATCTCCATGGGAACAGAGATGTCCTCTTTTGACTTTCCTCCCTGTCTTGTAGTCTCTCCTTCTCACTCTGTGAAAGCTTTTAATGCGTAATCATTTTCAAGCCCTTACTTTATTGAATAAATGCAGTATTGGATATCCATAATGTATTAGCACCACATGCGTCCACTACAATCATCGCAACGAAATGCATGCTAACAGCACATGCTGGAGGCCGACTATACACTATAGCCCCGGAGTTCATTTAATACTGGTGATTTCGCCGTGCCTTGTAGTTTGCACTGGTGCACTGTTCATAGGCTTCTTATAGAGTCTTGTAACTGTCCTAATAACCTACTTAAGATCTTCGACCACAATTAGGCAATAAATAATCAAGGCTGAATTACAGGCCTCAACTAAATTCTCCATCTTTGTCCAAGAGATCAAAGGAAAGAGATGAGAACCAGCCAAGTGTAATAAAAGGGGATTTTTTTAAAGTTACAGTACTATAACTTTATCTACTTTCGACGACGGCAGCGAGTAGATCACGAAGGAAGTCAGTGTCATGAGCTGGCTTTGTGGGTATATAAGGTGTGGAAGGCACTGTCAACCGATTTGGGTATGAATCCATCCTTGCAGATCACAAACACCCATACATGCTGATTGTCCTCCCTGGGGTTGATGGGATCTTCCAGCAGGACAATGAGACATGTCACATGGCTAGAAATGTCCGACATTGATTGGAAGAGCATGACCAAGACTTCTGAGTACTACCCTGGCCCCCTAATTCCCCAGACTTGAACCCAATTGAGCATCTGCGGGACCACCTCGATCGTCACGTTCGCTCTATGGATCCTCCCCCACGCCCCCTCCAGCAGCAGTGGGATGCACTGCAGTCAGCATGGCTCCAGGTACCTGTGACAACCTACCAGGACCTCACTGAGTCACTCCCAGCCCGTCTGGCTGCTGTCTGTGCTGCACACGGCAGTTACTCTGGATATTAGCTGGTGGTCATAATAATGTGTACGACTGTGTACATTAATAACACCTTTTGTAGTGCAGGTAGTGGTGGGGACAGCAGGGCGCAACCTCACACATTTTGGTTTTTGTTGAATAACTTAAAAAATATTTTAAGTTATGGAATATGGAATAACCATATTTTATGGAATAATTTTATGGAATAATCATATTTTTTATACAAGTAACATATTGTCGCTGTCCAAAGAAAAACAAGTATCTCCAAAATAGTAGCTTTACAGGAGAGGGAAAAACATTCTGTACTTTCAATGTAAGAAAGAAGAAGGAGGTTTTATTCTAAGCAGTTTTGGATCATTTCTATTGGTCCAATCATCATGAAATTTTCACACAATGTGAAGGACAGCTGCTGAGCTCAAATGATGCAGAAAAGTAAAAATCGCAAAAAATTGGAGATACATGTTTTTCATTGGACAGCGATGATATTCATCCCTGCTACAAATGAACAGTTGAACTTTGTTTCTAGCTCATTTTGTTCGTGTACAATTCCACTGAAAATGATGGTTATATATATATATATATATATATATATATAACCTTTTCTTGTTGGACTGATAAAAAAGGAGCTCCGGTTTAAAACTGCCTTCAGTAGAGCTGGAGGAGTAAGAGATGTTTTCTGTGAGTCCATCTCAACATGCTGAGGAACCTTAAATACATTTGAGTTTAAGTTGGCAGCCATGAAGACAGAGAAAATAAAATGCATGCCAACGAATATGGACCTTTATTCAAGGCTGTGGGAGAATATGCAGTAGATAGCATTTGGATTGGATTAGACTATCAAGTCGTGATAATACAATGTAGGTTCTATGCAATGTTAGCATGAATGATGTTATATGGACTGGAATTTTTCTCATTTGTCTGGAATTAATTTCCGGACAGTGTGACTGGCACCAGAAAAATATATATTTTTTTGTTCTCTGCAGAGAGCTTTAGATTTTTCTTTTTTTCTTTGCCAATGAAAATGTCTTTACATAATATACTGTGACCTGCAGTGTCTTCTAACTCAACTGTGTGTCAAAACATTGCCGAAGCCACCTCTGCAGCAGCTTCTAGCATGCTTCAGGCATGTCAGTTAGACATGGCTACGGTACACATGCCCTTACTGACCATAAATGAAAGATAACAATGATCTAGTTTGGCTAAAA